GAGACTTAGCTTTAGTCATATATCAGTTGAAAAGAGAATGAGAGACGAGAGATTCAAAACTCATTCTATATCGCAAGTATATCTCAAAGTTGATCAAGTAGTTTGAAGATATTCAATTTGATCATTTACCTTGAGAGGAAAATTTGATTGCTGATGCTTTGGCTACTTTAGCAGCAATGGTTTAAATTAATGATAACACTAACATTCAGCCCATCAAGTTAGATGTTAAGGATATGTTAGCTCATTGCTCTAATATAGAAAATGAGAAAGATGGGAAGCACTGGTATTGTGATATCTTATAATACATTGAGAACCAGCAATACCCTACCCAGGTAACTGAGAATGATAAAAGGATTATCCGAAGACTAACTATGAGTTTCTTCCTAGATGGAGATGTTTTCTACAAAAGAAGTCATGACCAAGTATTATTGAGGTGTGTAAATAAGGATGAGGCAAAGAAAATTATCGAAGAGGTGCATGATAAGATATGTGGGGTACATGCCAATGGACATATAATGGCAAGACATATCATGATAGCATGGTACTATTGGTTGATAATAGAGAGCAATTGCATTGACTATGCTTGAAAATGTCACAAGTGCCAGATCTAAGTTAAGGATTTGGATTTGGATTTGGATTTGGAGTTTGGGATTTAGGATTTTGATTTAACGTTTGGGGTTTAGGGGTTGGTTTTAGGGTTTGGTGATTAAAGTTTTGATTTAGGGTTTAGGGTTTAGATCTGGGGTTTGGGATTTAGAGTTTCATGTTTAGGGTTTGGATTTGGGGTTTGGATTTAGGGTTTCAAGTTTAAGGTTTTAGGGATTTCAAAAAATATTTTTTTAGGTTTTAAGGAAATCGATATAAACTGAATACAAAATTACAAGAATGCCATTAATGAATGCATGTACCAAATGTATGACCTATAAACTTAATTACAAAATAAGGTATTTTCTAACTTAATAACACAAATATGTAATGTATAAAAATTCTGAATAAAAATAGAGCAAACATGGAAAACTTTAAATTTTGATTTGAATGTTCCACCATTATTCATCTTTTAAGACAACCAAACAACTTAAAAAATTCACCAAAAACCATCATCAAACAACATTTTTTTCAATGAAACTTCTTATTTAAACATGTTAGAAAATTGCTAAACACCATAAAAACATAGCATATAACATGAATCAAAGAACCAAACATCATAAAAACATGAAACAAGGTTCGACCAAACACATACATCCCATAACCAAACCTTCCTAGCTTATCCCCATGCATTTATTTGTCCTATTTCATCCACACAAGTATTAACACTTAAAACTTACCTCATGAAAGGATTTGTAGCATTAAAAACAACTTAAACAAATATGTAATGATCCAAAGCTGGCAAAGAATTCATATAGACAAAAATGGTAGCCAAACAACAATATATATTTGATCAACCACAGAACATGCTAAACAAACATATAATCATTACTTAAGCATCATTAACTAACATTTGAAGCAACAAAGAGATGTAGGAGGCCAAGTGAAGGTTCAGCCAAACAAGAACACATCATGGCTGAACCTTCAACTTGTTTTTTCAATGGTGGATTTTGTTGTTTTTGCTTGGGTTTTCAACTTCAAACCAACTATGAATTAGTTAGGTGAAAATTGATTCAAGCTTTGTGCAATAAAAGTAAACTAAAACCTTTTAGAAAATCAAACAAGAAATGAATGAAAGATGATGAACAATGTAATGAAAGATGAGACAGAGATGCTAGAAAATGCAAAATGATGAATATGGAATGAATTCCTTCAAGTCAAACAATAAAATTTTTTCTTTTTTTTTTCCTCATGTTTTTCCTTTCTTTTTTTCTCTATTTTTTGCGTTTCCTCCTATGGTTTCATGTAGCAAAATCCCCTTTTTTGAATGAAGAAGAAGCCAAAAAAAATATTTTGCAAGATTTAATATGGACCCTAAGATTAAAAACTACCTAATAGCTCACATTTCTCCCTTATTTTCATTTCAAGGAACCAACTTTCCCCATGAGATCCACCTCCTAATATGATCTAATAGTTCATATTATTCACTACAAATGTATGATATTTAAAGCCCCTAAATCACATGAAAAGACCATTTTTAGGCTACTTTCTGATAAATCAATGTTCTTATGCTCATTTTTATGTTCACATCATCACTAAAAACAATCTCAACAAATCAATGTGCCATGTCAACCAAGTCAGTGACATGTCACCTAGTCTAGTCAATTGCCACATCAACAATTTTAACGATAAAATTTTGATTGCTTTTATAATTTGACTGAAATTATTAAATCGATATAGTATAAGAATTAAATTTGTATAAATTATAGTGAAGGGATTAGATTTTAAATTTTCATATGATGTAAGGACTTTCGGCATAATTTGACAATATCTAAATACATATTTTATCACTGACTTTAATATCACTTTTACAGTACTCAATCTTATCGTTACGGTAACTAATCTTATCATCACTTTTATTTTTAATCTCACTAAAATCAATCTCATTATTCATGTATATAATTTTTATGTCGACAACTAACCATTGCAGTCAATAAAATACATCAAGATGGCAAATTTTTATAATAGAACTGGATTTATGTCGCATTTTGCTTAGGGCTTTTATTCTTGAAGAAAAGTCAAACTCTTTCAATCTTTTTATCTCTTTATTGAAGCGAAGAAACAAAAAAATAAAGTATTAACCACATGATAAAAATTTATTTAGTTTGAGCATAATTTAAATATTGTCACTTGTACAAAAATAAATTCATATTATTATTACACGAAAATAATATTAGTTGCATATAAATTCATAAAATGATATGAAAATAGTAATACCATTTTAAAACAAACAAAACAACCAAATATTTTTAATAACTATCAAATAAACATTAATTGACTATTCGGGTGAAAAAAAAAAAAGAATTTAAAAGAATTTTTCAAGAAAAAAATTTCCTTCCCTTTCACAATTTTTTCTTGCACAGTGTCATACCGCGATAAGATACTCCAATGATAAGGCCAAATCTGACTATCCTTTCTCCTTTATGTTTGTTAAAACTTTTTACAAAAAAATAGGCAAAATTAAAAAAAATAATAAAGAAAATTAGCACAAAATTACCTATTTAAAGTCAAGAGGCTTTTTTTTTCTTTCTCATCATTTTTCTTTCCTTTCCTTTTCTCTTTCATTCCTTAACTAGCCAGTGAGATTTTGATCGAAATCTATGACGGCGACCAAAATCTCTCATTTTTTTCCTTTTTTGCTACTGCAGGTTTTGGTTTCCCTCCTCCATTCCCTTCTTCGATCTCTTATATCTTTCTTTCTTTTTCTTCTTTTCATTTTCTCGTCTTTCACTCCTAATTATTTATTTTTCATTTTCCCTTTTGCTCACTCACCTCCTCTCTTTCCTATATCTTGCCTTTTTTTTTTTTTTTTCGTTTTCTTTCTCATCCATTCCCTTATTGGCATTTCTTTCTTTTTCATCTTTCATATCTTTTTCTTGACTTCTTTTACTCATTTTCAATCAATTTTATTGTTTATTTATCTTTCACATTACAACTCATTCAATTCATCATTTATTTCAAAACATAAAAATTATCTTCAATAACTCTGAAAAAATTTTTTTTTTTATCTTTCCCTTGAACACGTGGTTTTTATAAAAGTGGCCATTATTAACAAAGTTTTTTGTTAGTAACTTTATATACTCTTTCTCAAAGCTTATTCCACTTTCTTTTGTTTTTTTTTTTTATTTAATTGTTGCCAATTAAAACTCTTTTTTACTCTTAACATTTGTTAAAATTTCTTATATGTTTTTTGGGCAGGCGTTACTCGTATAAATGCCTACAGTAGAGTTGTAAAAAAAATTATATACATGTAGATGTTTATATATGTGTCGGCTATAGAACAATTTGGATTTATTGATTTTTTAAATTAAATAAAAATATATAAACATAATTAAAAAATAAAAAAATTTGCCATGTGAGATTGAGATTGTTTTAAAAATAAAATTATTGTTTTTTTATAAACAAATGTAGTTTTATTCGTACAAAAACAATACAAAAAATTAAATTTATACAATCATGGATACTAAAAATAATAAAAATGAAATATGTCAATTAAACATGACTCTTCAAAATTTCAATTACAATAAAAAGAACGATTAATAGAATTATCAATTTGGTTCCGAATACTATGAAGCCTGTAGTGTACAGTATCTTTAATAAATTGCAAAATAGCTAGAGTGCTACCAGATTACTTCCCAACAACCCACCCTTTTATTTCTGTCTATCCAATCTCCATAAATAAAGGTGTTCCAAACAAGTTTAAGAATAGAAACCAAAAGGGATTACTTCCAGAGCTAGCTTTAATTCAAGAGAAATCATAGTGTCAATTGATCACTTGACTTTGGATTCCACGTAGCTGTATCACTTGTGACCAAAATTGATTAATGAACTTACATGTGAAAAATAAATGATCTCTATAAAAGTATTACGGGTAAAGGGTTAAAAAAATATCTGAACTATAATTAAAAATTATTTAGGCTTTTTTTGTTGTAATAATTAATTTTTTTAATATTTATTTGTATTCAATTAAATTTTATTTAAAAGAAAGAGTTAATATCGTTAATTTTTTTATCAATAAGATAAAATTTTATATAATATCAATAAATTAAATTAAAATTTATCACATATCATAATTAATATATGTAAAAATTAAATAATATAATTTTTTCATTTTTTTTTTTTTTACATTTTTTTCTAAAATCACTTGTTCAATTAATTATAATTGAAGAATTGATTGATTAAATTTTATTATATAACTAAATTTTATCCATTTAAAAGTTTAATGAAAACGAAATAAAAAAATAAAAATTTGATTGATTATAATAAAATATTAAAAATTTAAGTAATTATTAAATTATAATTTATGATTTTTTTATACTTCAACTAAATATTATTAATTAAAGTATTCACCCGTGATTAAAACTTTTAAACGGTAATTACAAAAGATTGTCTGCAAAATATAAAAAGGTTTCTTATCCCAAACTCAGCTCGCGCTTGGTATGGTACCTCTCAAGATGTCGTCTCCGCTTCAATGTCCGTCCAAGCTTCTCTTCCCTCTCCACCATCCTTACTCCAAACCTGTTCTCTCCTATCCAACTCCACGACTTCTCTATCCTCGTCGCCAAACATTCCGAATCTTCTGCGCTAAGAGAACCGGCAAGCAGAGATACCCTTCCGAGAAGAAGAAAATGAAATTGAAGCAAAAAGATGCTCTATCTTCTGTCACGAACAAGTTCGAAGGGATCTGGAGGCTCTCCAATCTCGCAGTTTCGGTCCAAAACGACCCCGGAAAGGATTTTCTCCAAGTTCATAATGGCTTGCTCCAAGAAATCGCTAAAGTCCTCAAGTTTCCAGTAATTTCTCGTCTCTCTTAATCTTATTTTTTGATAAATGTTTTTTTTCCTCGTCCTTTTCTAATTTGGTTTATTCCAGGTTGCTTCCATGTTGCCAGAAGAAGCTTTCTCGGTGGTTCGGAAATCTTTTGATGCAAGAAAGGTGGATAATTTCGGCTCTTTTAGTTTTTAGTTTTTTGTTTTATTATTATTTTTTAAAAAAATTATTCTGAAAGCAAAAATCACATTTAAATAGTAAATACAAATATAATTAATAAGTTTTGAGAAAATTAGAAATAAAAATTATAATCTTTTTGCATAACGTAATTATTTGTTTTACTTTTATATATACTAATTATGTTAATTGATACCTGGGAATAGCTACTTTTCGAAAGTTATGCATGTTGAACCTAGGGCTTAACTTAGTTCATGTAATCACCTAGTATGCAGCAAATTTGGGATTCAAATCTGAACGCCTGCAATTTTTTCTCGTATTTTCTTTGTATAAAAAAAGTGTTATGCATGTTGAAACCTGTGCCTGCACCATACTAGTCAGTTTACACGATATCTATGCTCATTTCTCTCAAATGTTGCCTTTCCCTTTATTTTCATTGATCGCAAATTTGCTTTAGGTAGTTATTAGAAAAGGAAGAAAATTAATGATAAGTCAATAAAAGAGTTTAAGTTGTATATCCCTTTTATTGATTTGCTTTATTAATGGTCTTCAGAAACTGAAGGAGGCCAAGTTTGTATATACTGTGGATATGGATGTCAGTAAGCTGCTAAGTCTAGAACCTCGTACATGGGACTTCATATCTCGGTTGGAGCCAAAAGTTGGGCTTATAGAACATATGCCTCGTGAAAGATTTGCTCGTGATTTGATGAGTATAGTACATGATTTTAAAGATAGCAATGGTGGTATATCGTCAAGAGAACAAGAACGTAACATTCACTCTGGTGAATCACACAAGTGTTCCACAGCTAGAAAACCAAAAATTGCAGTTGTGGGTGGTGGCCCATCTGGCTTGTTTGCTTCTCTGGTTCTTGCAGAATTTGGTGCTGATGTTACTTTGATTGAAAGAGGTCAAGCGGTTGAGAGGAGGGGGCGTGACATTGGCGCTTTAGTTGTTCGCCGGATTTTAGAATCAGAAAGCAATTTTTGCTTTGGGGAGGTCATATTTCATTTCACTTGGTTCTTCTGCTAAAGCATATTTTAGTATCGTAATTGCTGATATTCTTGTGTCTCATTCTTTGAATTCTGCTATTTAGACAAGGGCTGGCTCTTAATTTAGGTTCACACAATCTAAAGCATTGTTATTTAATAATTGAATGTAATGGGACCACGTGATTATTCTATTAATATAAATGTAGGTAACTATATTAGTTAGATTAAAATATTGAATCTGCTAAAAAAGTAGTCTCTTTTAAGTTTGATAAATTGCTTGGGCAAAGGTAGATAGGGTTCTATATTGGGTCTTTAGGGTTTTAGTACCTGTTTATATAGGCAACAGATTGAAGAGACAATGACAAGGTGTGATCTAGATCACATTCATAATATGATATTCTTATCTTAGTACAAACAATAGTTTAAAGCTAAAGCTTTTACTCTCTCTGTCACTTTCTCATTTATTCTAGTTGCCCTGGGTCAGATCTGCTTTAATACGTAGTTAGGTACACATGGGAAGAAAAGATGATCCTTGGTGCTAAATGAATAAACCTGATATTTTACTTTGATGGCTATTGTAGGTTTAAAACTTGGACTGAGGCCGTAAAACCATCTTTTTTATGCTTTTTTGTCTTCCAAAGGATGAATTTAAGTTAAAATGTGCTATCATTTCTGATTTAGGATCATGCTATAAATGCATTTTGGTCTTCACCAATACATTTTTGATATCTAGAGAAAGCATATGGCTTTACAAAACTACTTGCTTCAATTTAAGAAGCAACTGGAAAATAATGACTTGGTTAGTTGGTTATCCAAGTCCTTTCCTGCATATCTCCATATATTTTACCTGTGAAATGTCCATGAATTGTAGAAGAGCATATATCTTGAGCTACCATCTTTTTAAAAAAATGTATGTACATGCTAGAGCTTTGAGCCAAGAGATAACCTTGCAGACTTTTATATCTGTTTTGTCAACACCAGCTTGATTTTTATTCTCGATGGCTTTGAGTTTTCATGTTTCTCTGCTAGTGGTATGACTTTGTTCCCTTTCAAGTCATATTAAGGGCTTATGTATGGCAGGGTGGTGCAGGTACCTGGAGTGATGGAAAACTGGTAACTAGAATTGGAAGGAACAGTGGCTGTGTTTTAGCAGTAAGAACTATTCCTTTAGATTTCTCATTTTAATTGCATCCTCCCCGTGCCGCCCCCCCCCCCACATTTTTATTTTTTCCACATTTGTATTCTCAAATGCCTCTCTTTTTGGGTTGTTCTAGTACAGTTGCTTTCTCTTATTCCTGGGATGATATTCAGTTGTCATTAGCATGCTTTTGTGGATTTGCAAAATGATATGATCTTTTTAACCTAACCCACTTGCTCTGGCTGCGATGGAGATGCAATTAGACAGTGTGTTATACTTCCCTGAATGCAATGATTGCACTAGGGCAAAATTATGATGAAGTGTTGAATTATGGCCATTTCTTTTTAGTTACAGATATTTGTTGATGGTATATCTGGCTGTTCCCCAAAAAAGTCATATGCTTAATTTAATCAAGGACTGATTGTTCAGCTAAAAGATTTGTCAACTGCTCTGCCAGGCATTAGTTTGGAGACTTTATTACAAACATAGGAGAAACATTGTGCTTTTGATATGTTAACTAAGCTGCCAAAAGGATAAGTTAATTAAAGAAAAAGAAGGAACTATTGTCATTTCACCTTTATCTTTTACATGCATTATTGTGATTTTAAATCTTCTTATTTTATCATGTGTTAATAACAGAATAGATTGACTGATAAATATTCTTATCTCAGATCATGAACACCTTGGTTCACTTTGGTGCTCCAAAAGATATTTTGGTTGATGGTAAGCCTCATTTGGGAACAGATAGGCTAGTTCCTTTACTCCGTAACTTCCGGCAACATCTTCAATCACTGGGTGTGAGTTTCATAATAGCTTCTTACCCTTCGAAATTATTGTGTATATCAGATAAAGTTTGCCTCCTTTATTGCATGGTTTCAAAATGGATTCTAATTTGCTCTTTTTCTTATATGTCTTAGGTGGATATCAAGTTTGGAACGAGGGTAGATGATCTGATTATAGAGGATGGACATATTGTGGGTGTGCAAGTCTCTGATTCAACAAATAAATTGCAGTTAGATTGCAAGAAGTTGGGATTTGATGCAGTTATTCTGGCTGTTGGACATTCTGCACGTGATACATATCAAATGCTTCTTTCTCATAATGTGGATTTGGTCCCAAAAGATTTTGCTGTAAGTTTTTCCATTAATTGTGAAACTTTTCTTTGTTAATATATCATTGCCTGAAAGTTCATTCCCCTGTATTTCCAACTGTCATCACTTTACTAGTGCTTCCCAGCATCAACAAACATTGCTTACAGCTAGTTTGATCCTGAAGCATCAAATCTACAGATGTGAGCATTATTCCCATAATTGAAATATGTTGAACTTGCAGTGGCAAAAAAGATGAATATGTTATATCATGATCTGGGAGGAATGAATTCAAAGGGTAGCTGTTTTGTCTAAATGTGGGGTGTTTGGATGGACCAATCTCTTAGCCACTACCATTTTCATTCTTTTACTTACCTACTCAGTGATATTATAGAAGAGATTTTTATCTTTCAATTCTCCAAATTATCTCCTGTATAGATGCAGCACATTCAAGAATATACACCTATAAAACCATCTAAATACAGCCATCTTCACACTTATGTAAACGCTGAGACACAAGATGCATGTTTAAAACACAGTTTTTTAAACAGGTTTGGAAGAGTTTCTGGTAGTTCATTTCTCTCTTTTCAATCCTCAATTGCATTTCCCTTTCCTTTTCTTCCACGTTTTGATGATGGAATATGCAATTGGCACCAATGTTCTAGTGGAAATTGCAGAATTTTTGTTGTCATTCTTGGTGGTACTGAGAGCTGGACATTAGTCATATAATTTCTGGAATCTGTTTTGTGGTCATAGCAATATCATTTAGAAATGAATAAAACTTGTGGAATGATGTCTGACTTTGGTTGCTTATTATTGTTAATTATCTTGGTAACTTGCTTTATTGAAACAGGTTGGTTTGCGAGTAGAGCATCCTCAGGAACTAATCAACAGCATACAGGTTATTTATAAATTTCCTTTCTAATTATTTTCTGTAAATTAATCAACAAGAGTTCAAGTTGTTGAATTATCCATACTTGTAGCTGTAACTATCCTCTGCCAGTTGCATTCTAATTTGGAGCTTTTCCTTCTATTCACTAATAAAAAGAACTTGTATGCCTTCCCCCCATCCCCACCCCCCCAAATATATATTTATTTAAGGACTTCAATTTTTATCAATATCTGAGGACTTATTGTCACACTGTTGAATTAGAGAAGAGTGACTTGGTTGTGGTAATTTTCTTTCTAATGCCTATAGTTGTTTAGTTGCATGCAGAGTTTTGTTTAATGAATCTAGTAAGCAACAGTGATCAAGTTCAATAAATGTTTCTGGCCTAGAGTCAGTCTAGCTTGGCTGCAAAATAGTTTTACCTCCAAGTTGTATGCTAGCTCAAGTTTGGAATCTGCATAAAATTATGTTTTACATATCGGAACAGTAAAAATGATGAAGATTGATCCTCTATTTGGTTGACGCTTTTGCTTTTTTATTTTTTTGCTTTGAATATAGAAACCAAAAAGCAAAAAGTAAAAATGAATAGAAAACAAGATACAAATAGCAAAAAGTTAAAAAGCATCAACAAAACGAAGCCTAAGTATTTTGCCCATTGGAACTAGGGCAGTGTTTAGAGTGGAATGCAACTGCTACGTTTTTTCAGTCCTTTCTATTCTCTTTCCTGTCTTTCCATATATTGTGCTTTGGCCTTTATTGTGTGGCCCATTTGTCTAAGAAATATTCACCCTAAGCTTCAAATTTGTACTATTATAGGGTTTTTGAGGTTTAAATTTAAAGATTTTTGCAACCAAATTTTGGTATCTAATATCAGATTATCATATAGCTTCAATTTGCTTCAGATTTTAGGTTGTCATGATGATTTGTTGTGGCAGTTTTTTTAATAGGATTTTGTTAGGACTTGGAAAAGAAAAGCATAACTGAAAATCTAGAGTTTGTCATTGCCAACAAACCATTTGATTGTTTATTAATGAAGTTTATTAAGAATGAAGCGCAGGCATAAATAAACATAAAAAAGATGTTCTGTAACCATGAGAAACTCCTGCTTTTGATATTGTTTCAATATTTCTAAAAATTCAAACCACTCATGTGCACAGTATTCTGGATTAGCCAACGAAGTTTGCAGTGGACGTGGGAAAGTACCAGTGGCAGATTATAAGGTTGTGCAGTATGTTAGTGATAAGGATGAAGATTCACCTTTCAAGTTGGAGTCTACAAGTCGTAGTTGTTATTCTTTCTGCATGTGCCCTGGTGGGCAGGTATGTTTGTCCTTGTGTTTATCTTATTCTTTCTGCATGTGCCCTGGTGGCAGGAATGCTGTCCTTTTGTTTATCTTATTTGCTGATTGTTTTTAACGTCCTTAAATGGTGATATTTTTGCTTCTTATTTCACCTGTAAATGTATAGTCTAAGTATTGTATAATTGTTCCTCCTTGACAAATTAATACCTCTGTCCACAAAGGACATAATTGATGCCATTCCGGCTCAATACTTCAATATGTATCCAAAATCTAACAATACTTTGTAGACAGTAATGGATACATTAAACATGTGTTAAGATATAGGTCAAGAATGAGTTTATGGATAAAGTTAAGAAAGAGAATATCATAGAAGTTGTAGCTCATTTATGAGAAGGAATTTTCACAAAATTAGTGTATAATATACTTTCAACTGAATGTGTACTTTTAATAGACAATAGGCTTTAATTTAATGAAAATTCTGTGTATGTTTAATTAAACAATCCATCTTGTGTTTTATCTTTAATCCTATATTTGCTTCATAACTCTTGATGGCCGGTTTTATAAATCATAACTTTTGAACTTTCTGATTAACTATGTTCTTGAGGAATTTGTAGTCCAATCAGTTAAAAGCCATGTAGGGCAGATTAGCATAATCTAATTAGATAGGTTTCACGTACAGGCGGGAAGAGTTAGGAAGTCATCATAAATATTAGAAACTTTACTGAAATATCTGCTGAAGGATTCACATATATTGGGAGTTGCAGGTTGTTCTCACTAGCACAAACCCATCGGAGGTCTGTATTAATGGGATGTCATTTTCTCGCCGTGCATCTAGGTGGGCAAACGCTGCCCTTGTTGTGACTGTTTCAACAAAAGATTTTGATGCATTGAATTTCCATGGACCTCTTGCTGGGGTTGAATTTCAGGTAGCCTTTCTGCCCTTACCTTTGTTATTTAAAGGAGTCAAGCTCCATGTAGGCACAATTTTGTGTTTGGCTTAACAAAAATGTTGAGAGCATCTGATATTTTTATCGGACTCTTCTTTCACCTCTATGGAGAGTTTTACTCTTCCATGGATGATAAAAGTACAAATGACACTATTTATTGAGTTACCTTTCACCTACTTATAGTCTGGAACTTCCATGAAAATTAAAGGATACAAAGATTGAGGCCTTATTTAAAATTCTCTAAATCTGTTTTATCATTTCATTGTTCAGAGGGAATTTGAGCGAAAAGCAGCTATAATGGGAGGGGGAAATTTTGTGGTGCCTGTGCAGACAGTTACTGATTTTATGGAAAATAAAGTATCAGGTAACATTATTTTTTGTCGATTTCTGCATTTGTTTTTGTCAAAGGTAGTGAATTCGAGAAAAAGTAGAGAGACAATGGTAGTCTCTCCGTGCATTTATATTAGAACAATAAGTGCATAGGACTAATATACCCCTTAACCTAAATGTTTAACAGTTTTGCTTTTACTTTTCCTAAGACTTGCCTTATTTTTTCAGTAACATCTATGCCACCATCGAGCTACCGGCTAGGAGTGAAGGCAGCAAGTCTCCATGAATTGTTCCCTGTATACATGACAGATGCTTTATGCTATTCTATCTCAATGTTTGATAAAGAGGTCTTTTATATTTCCCCAATTTATTATTCATCTTTCCAATTACCATGTCCATTTGATAATATCCAAACTAAACTCAAGAAGCTTTTCTTTTTCTCCAACCTTTGGAACTTTCAGCTACCTGGATTTATCTCCAAGGAGGCTCTTCTTCACGGAGTAGAGGTAACCATTTTTCTACTTACATGCTTCTCTCTCTTTTTTATGATGGAACTACACTTCTCTTTTATATTTGGTATTTTAGTAGGCATTTGATGTCAGATCAGATTCTGCTTCATATAATCCCTAAGCTCATCTTTTGGCTTTTTGTATGTTATATATTTTGCAAATGGATTATGGTCTCTTCGTACAAATTAATGTCCAACTCAAACTGATTGGGGTTTGCTACATGAACCTTCTTCCTATTTGGCCAGTCTAATATGGTCTCTCTGGCTCTCTGCAACTTGTCAATAAAATTAAATCCTTGTTCACAACTTCCATCATAACATGGAATTTACATTTTCACCCTCCTCCCCACCACCACCCCAACTCATACACAATCATGCATTTGTCCGCAGCTTATTTATGTTCCTTCTGCATGGTGATTGATATGCTATTTTAGGTCAAAATTCAATTGAACTGTAGTTTCTTTGCATCAATTGTCTTTTCCACTTTTCTGTAAAATCTCGTTCTCTTTCTTTCAGACTAGAACTAGTTCTCCCATTCAGATTCCGCGCGATGGTGACACTTGTGAGAGCATATCTTTAAGAGGGCTCTACCCGGTTGGTGAAGGAGCAGGTTACGCTGGTGGGATTGTAAGCGCAGCAGTCGATGGCATGTACAGTGGTTTCTCTGTGGCAAAAAAATTTGATTTGTTTCATGGTGACATAGAGTCGGTTTTAGGAAAGGCTCAGAGTGCTGGATTGGTGAAGTACTAGAAGGGTTTTGGTTCCACTTATTTTATAAGCAATTCACTTCACATGAGTACTTACTCCATTATCATTTAGAGCTCTACAAAATCGAGGATGATGATGGGGGGACTTCAAATGCAACTCCAAATTTATTTCAGAAACTGTTAAGTATGATTCATTTTACATTTGAATTAAAATCAGACAGTGATTCTTACTTCTTATCAATTACACTCCTCTCGTTTTTATGAATATGCAGCTAGATGAAAGGATAAGATTGCCATGCTTTGTTACCTTGTTGATCGTGAGCCTGTTCAAAACTGGTGTTTTTTCTGGGCACTCTCGTTAAACTGAACCTCAAGGGCAGCCATGGAAGAGCAAACAGAAGTCTATAGCGGCTAAACTAACCCAACATACTCTTTGTTTTCTAACTTGTTAATTAGAGGTAATTGATGGAAGAAAAAAATAAAAGGAAATTCACAATCATGCAGCCATTTATGAGACATCTAAAGGAAGAGCAGAGCTGTGTTGCGGAATTAGTTTGAATTCTGGCATTTTAATCATGGAATTGTTTTTTCGGTTTTATTTAGTATGAAGGCAAATTTTAAGGTCTTTGGGGTTAGTATCCTGAAATGAAAAAGCATACGATGATCCAATATCAGACTTCTAGTTTTATAAGCTTTTGTACAATTGTAGAGAAGAAAGTTTTTCGATGGAGTTATATTTTCATTTTTTAGATATCATATTCTATCAATCTTTATTCAGCCCGCTAGTAGAGTATCGGATTAGTTCATGTTGATAGGATTTTTAGTTTTAATGATTAAGATGGATTAGGAGTGTTGGTTGGATTTTTAATTTTTATGCTATATTTGGATGGATACTAATAAAAAAAAAAAAGAGTTTTTTAAGGGATATGTACTTTTTGTTTAAATGGTTAAAATTAATAAATAAATAAAATTTTAACATTGTTAAGATAAAGAATGGAAAGGAAAAGAAAATGATTTATTATAATATTTTTTTAAAAAATAACATATAATATAAAAAAATTTTATACTACTTTATATAAATAAATTATTTTTGTAATGACTATTCATTTATAATTGTTTATGATTTGCCATTAAATCTAAAGCGACTAGATGGTTTCGTGCAAAATCTAAAGTGACTTGATTGGTTTTATATTGTCAAAGTTATTTATGGTTAATTTTGAAATTTAATATTATTTTGTTTTTTCGTCATTGAACACATATAAACAAGGTACAATATATTTAACCTCGTTAATAATGTATGCAATTTAGAAAGTTACACCAAATATGAAAAGACTGAGATTTTTAAAGTAAATCAAGTTTTAGTATTCATATAAAAGCTATTAAATAAGAAAAAATGTAATCACATAAAAATATTACATATTAGCGAACTAAATACTCTTTTTACACTAGATAAAAACTAATAGCATATCACTATATAGTGTTTAACACAATTATTTTATCAACATAAAAAATAAATATTTTCATCCTAATAAAAATTTATTTAAATGGATTAAAAACTTATGTAGCAAAGATATTTTCGACAACTTTAATGACTAGATAAACCAAACACCAACCTTTCAATGACCTCTTTTTTTTTTATCCTATATGCATACAAATGTTGTTCTTATTTTCTCAAGATTATCAATAAAGTATAAGTTGTAAGTTAATTCGTATTTCTTCCAAAAGATTCCATATTTCATTTTTCGAAATTTGATAAACGTAAGGATTGAGCTTTTCATAAATAGCATTTCCCACAGTAAGTGTATTAGCAACCATTTCAAATGCTTCTCGAATAACTTTACCATCTTTGTTATCTTTTGATTTTTTAACTCTTATATTTATTGAACTATTCGAAAGATCGAAAGGATTTTTAGAACAAGTCCCAGAGAATGTCATGATATCAATGTCTCCTTACTCAAAATATCATAATTTTCCAATGTTACCTTATTCTGAGAGATTAAATTATCAATATCATCAATATTCTCTCTTTACTCATCATCAATTCCAAAAGATATTGTTTCTTTCGCTCATTTTCGCTACAGTCTCAACATGTTCCCAAGTGGCTCGATCATTATTATAAAGAATCGCCATAATGTTATAATTTGGAATTAGTTTAGTCATACATTATTAGGCATGAGAATGTGCCTAAAATTTTATAAGTATTATATTGTGAGTATATAAATAATAAAATATAAAATAATTAATAAAATTATAATTAAAAATTTATTTTAATAAAATTAACCTCAATCAATTTTTGCTAAACTTTAAGTTTAGCACCCCATAATTTGATAATTGAATTTCAAGAAAATCCATTATCCTTGAGTGAACAAGTCATGATACTTTGATAAATCAATTTTTATAGTCTTCCAACAATTTTTCACTTTTTCCTTCTTTGTTGATTTAAAAATGCATCAACAAAAGCATCATCCATTATTAGTATCTATGTCAAAACCTCATCCTTATTTGTCACTTCATCATTTTCATTAGTGGTAATCATTTTTTTCTTTCTCTTCATAATTAAATTTACACAATAACAAAAGAAACATGTTAAAAATTTATAATAATAATAAAATATAATCATTGAAAAATAAGTACTTTAGTTGTTCAAATGAAATAACATTTATTTAATCAAAGAACTATATTTCTCTGAAATAAAGCAAATATAAATTCAAGAAAATACACAAATAATAATAACCATTAAATTCTATAATCTATTCACATAGCATTAGCTATAGAATCTCTTAATTGTTCTCCTCAAGCAGCATCTTCATTCTCATTTCTAGGAGTACAATACTCTTATTCAGTAGACCCAACATTTAGTTCACAATCAATCTTATCAATAAGAGAATCATTAGGATCTAGTGTTGTTAAGTAATTATGTTAAATACATTAAGTTAAAATTATTACTTTTTGAGTTCAACTTCATATGTCGTGCATTTGTGCTTGCTATAATGGGATTTTTTTTTTAGGATATCGAATGCTCTTTCAATTGCATTATGCAAAAATGCGTGCCTAAGATTGAATAATTCTTGAGAATTTTTTTATGGGTTATTTTAATATTTTTTTCAAATCATACCATACTCCTCTATATAGTGCAATCAATTTATTTTTCAACATAATCCCATCATCAATAAGATAATATTCACCTATTCAAAATTATAATCATATCACTATTTTGGTCTTGTAAGTAACTAAATTAAATATAATTTATTATATTCATTATCTTTTAGAATCATAAGTCTATTTTTTCTTGATAGTACATCTTTCATAATTCTTGAGTCAAACGCAGTACCATATACCATATAAGTGAATTTTAAATCAAATGAATATGTTGCCAATAAATTTTATGTTGGATACTTTTTTCTACCATGATATTTTGGAGTATTTTTATTTGATACCTTTACTTAATGTGTTCTATTGATAGCTCTTACACTATCTTAATATTGATTTTATATATGAATACTTAATAAATACAAACAATCTTATGATTAAATTAAAGTAACTAATAATTTCTTACCTTAAAATATGCCTAGAATCTATTGTTTTATGTTTTGATTAAATTAAAGTAACTAATGATTTCTTACTTTAAAATATGGGTAGAATATATTATTTTCAAGTATCTCAACTAGAATATTTGAGCCATTTAATTGTTTAAGGAATTTCTCCTCTAATTCTATTATAGCTCTTAAAGCACGATGTAATGGCAACTTGTTTCTTCTGAACATATAAATCAAAATTGTATCTCTCTATTTTTTGCATGATGAGATAATACATAAAAAGTTTTCGCAACTTGTTTTTTCATTGAAACTCGTCTTATTAGTTCTAGACCACCATATTTTGTAATATTGCAGATAAATGTAGAAAAGCTTTGGGTCCGATTCTTACAATATCTTTACCTTTCTCACTACTAACAATTTGACTCATTATTTTATCTTTAATCCGATGTCTTTCTAGACTCATATAATGATTAATAACTTTTCTTCATGATTTTTTTTTATGTACATACCAATAAACAGCTAAACAAATAATGTAGACGATTGCCATTCGACAATTTTCTCTCCACAAATACTCAATCATTGTCTATTTTTTTTATTTATTCATCTATGATAGTAAAATATTAACAATAATTATTACTATCATAAAAATAAATACACTTAGACTTGTATATATATATATATATATATATATTCTTGTATGTAAAAATAAATACATTTACAGTTGTATATATTCTTGTATGAAACAAATTAATAGTAGCATGCATTCATAAAAAATAATGTGTTTATTTAATAGTTAACAAGTCAAAAATGAAATCAAATGTATAAGCATCCTAGAAAAATAAAATTATTTAATATAATTGAAACTAAATTTTCAACTTCGTTTAGTTTTATCAATTTTTTATAATTAAATTTTTATTACTAAAAATAAAATTAAATATAATATATTGTCTTAACCTCTTTGAAAATTTTCAATTACAAAATGATGAATATAACTTTTAGATATATTACAAATTGTTGCATGACTTTCTTTGAGTATTTTTTGCTTGTATGAAAGAAAAGAATATTGAAATTTCTCAATTTACTTTGTACTTCTTTTAGAAAGAGAGTTGACAAGAAAACTATTAGCTCTATAGTTGGTTTTTTTTAATGATTTTTCAAGTTAAAAACTAGTTCATTTATTACGATATTTGTCTTGTAGATCAAAATAATGTAACTTGATTGATATTCATCGGTCTATGTTACAACTTTGCTTAAGAATCTTGACAAATGTTGTTCATTGTCAAGAATATAGCCAAACTCTAAAGACCAATCTTCAATTTATCAAACATTAAAAACTCAAATAAACAAACTGTATCCCTTTTATAGGTATTAGTTCAATTATCACATTCTTTGAATAAATTAAGAACTCAGAAACGATTGATCTTTTTGGAAGAATACAACCTTTAGTAGTCAAATCTTGCTTTTGTTTTGATTGGTCATTAAAACTTTTAAATTTTTTATTGATTTTACATGACTAATAAGAATACATTATCGGTTCAACATTTCATCTCTTTTCTATTTGATAAAAAAGATTGAATATTTTTTTTATCAAGATAATTTTGTTTTGACTAATACATCGATGGTATTTATATACCATTTTTTTGTATAACTAACATAAATAAAGGTAAGAAATAAATATTCAAAAGATAAAAGATGGTGAAGTTGTGAATGACTAGAAACAAGTACATGCACTTAAAAAAAAATTATCTTATATACAGGGATCTAATATACTCAACACTTATATATGTCTAGTTATGTCATCAAAAGTCAAATCACTAAAAAGATAAATCTATCAACAATCTAAAAATTAAAAAAGATATGTGAAATTTATTTAAAAAAGAAATAATGAAAAAAAATTACAAGATGATCATAAGTGATGCAGTTAAGTTTTTAATTAGATAATGTTAATAAAAATATGGATATAATAATATTTTTATAAAAATAAAATTTTTTCAACTATCATTTTCTAAACTTTTTCATCAAATTAAAATATTAAAAAATATGGAATTAGAAGGGAAATGAAAAGTTATTAGGTCACTACCTATTTTTCCTTTTTTAAATAAAAAATTTATCCAAATAATTTTTTTTCTATTTTCTTTATTTTTCTCTATTTTCCTTCCTTTCTTTTTCTTTTCCTCCTTTCAATTCAAATGTACACTTAAGTTTAGTGATTAGGATGGATGAACCAAGTTGGTTAGATTTTTAATTTTAGAGGATAGAATTCAAATCAAAATAATTTTCATTAAAAAAAAGTAAAGTTTAGTTGAAAACCATTAGTAGTCTTAAACTTTGTATCTATAGATAAATTGACTATGTAGCA